CAGCCTCCTGCTACAGCCTCCTGAAGCACCATGAAGGTCCTTTGCTGTTTCCAGGGTGGCCCTATGGGCCAGATCTAAGTACCACGTGGACCAGATCCGGGCCCCAGGCCTTGAGTTTGACACCCCGGTCTAGAGTGTGTGTAGAACCAGTTTGTTGTAGTGGCACCCAGGTAGAAATCAGTAGACTGTGAGTTCTAGTTCTGCCTTAGGTACAGAGCCAATAGGGTGAATTTGAGTCTCTCTGTCAGTCTCTCTTAACCTTAGGAAGGATGCAATGGCATACCACTTCTGAAACTTTGCTAAGAAAATGCAGGGAATAGTCCAAGCAGTCATAAGGAGACAACACTCCTTGGAGATACAAACACACAAACAATAATTGAGAGACATGGGGTAGTGGTATCCAATGACATAACTTTTCAATATTGGGTCCTATCCTGATATATGATATAACAGCAGATAACTTCACTAAATTTCTCCAAAAAGAGAAAAGTTCTAATCTTTTCTCTAAGACAAGACTTAGAGAATCATCCTCTTAGTGAGTGATAGACGATAGCTGCTACTGAAAAGCTCTCAAAAAGTGCAGGACAGTTTTAGCTCTTTCATTTGTATTTAACTGAAATGTAAAAGACCAATGAAACTGCAGATTGATGGAAGGATAATTATGCAGTAAAAGGTAGACATTCACTTAAACACATTGTCTACCTCATCACAAAACGAAATGTGAAAATACTAAGCCATCCATGAAAATTTCTTTGAAACTTTTTTTTCTGATTTTTTTTCCCTTTTAAATTGAATGAGTACTGGGAACAAAAGCACAGAATTTAGCTGCCCATTAGTGAAAAGGATAGTTAGTAACTGAATAGACAAGATGCAAAAGAAAAGAGGAAAAAAACATTCAACCACTATAGGAATGTTTAGAGAGAAGAGCAACTGAAGGAGGTTTCTTTTTTCCCCTTGTCTCCCAAGCTAAAGTAGACAAACTCACCTCTGGCTCACCTCTCTTTTTACATGAACTAAATGAAATGCATTTTGCAGAAATGAGAAGCCAAGGAAATGTGGTACTGATAACATCCAGGAAGAGTCCTGGATAATTCTCCTCACCATCTGAGGTCGTAAATGAATGCAAAATGGGTGGACATACTGCTGAAAAAGTGAGACCTTTGACCTCCTTCCTTCCAACTTTGGGGAGAAAAGGTTTGAATAAATGTTAAAATTGCAAAGTAGAAGGAGATACTAAAAGAGGGAAGAGATGGGGAAAGGAGTGGTGACAGGTTTCTTAATTTCATTTTACAACACATTTTAAGACAGCATGCAGTAATGTAGAATTAAGAAATGGAACTCAGAGATCACATTTTCTTATTACAATCGTTGGGGAAAAGAGAGTAGGATGGCTGTGATATTTTTTTCTCTAGAAATAGTACTGTAAGTGATGAGTAGTGTAGCCTGCTACTGATAGTAATCCTGCAGGGTTTGTGTGTTCCAGGTTCCTTTGCTTAAACAATGTCATATATCAAGACCCTGGAAGTGAGGTCTCTGTAGTACTATCTTCCCTCTGAAACAAGATCCCCCTCAAGATCTGGATAGCCTCCACTATGCTGTTTTTTAGAAGAGCTATGAAGATCTGAATCTTCACTCCTTCCCCAGGGCTTTGGTGAAGAAACGTGAGACTTCTGTTTCATTCCATATGGTTTGTCATCTTGTACTGGTTTAATTGTACAGATTGTCCTCGACTTACAGCTGTTTGTTCAGTGACCGGTCAAAATTATGACAGAGTTGAATGAAGGGACTTAAAATTCCTGCCCTGGCCTTACAACTGACTATAGGGATGCTGCAATGATCTCCCCTATCTTTCCCCCTCCCATCCCAACAGGCTTTGGACCTGCTTCCAACTCTACTGGGACCATATCCTTCTTCCCTTCCCCATATGGATCAGTCACTTAATTTTTCTATAGATCCACTGCATTGTTACAGGTCAGAGATTGTGTTTAGGAAAGAGAACTGGCTGATCTGACCCCCAGTCTTCCTACACTCTACAGAGTATGGCACCATTCCAGAAGTGAACACCATTTCAGTGTAGCCATAATTCATTAGTCAGACCTGGAAGCCATCTTTTTCATTGGATCTTCAGACCTGCCACATTTACTATTGTGAAAAACTGGGAGGGGGAATTGTATGAAGCTAGGGTGATATATAGTCAAAATAACATTCCTTTTTCGATAAATCAAGGACATCTTGCCCTGCACTTGGACGGCTGGAACTGGGAGGCATTTCCAGTTGGGACGGTGCTTGGATTGGACCATGTGATGGATATATGGGTGTTGGGCAGGGACTTGAACTTTCCTTTGGGTGGGGAAAGCCTGGAAGCTCTCAAATTCGGGTTTTCCCAGTCATGCCAATATGACATCTCTAATAAAATTGAACTTTGAGGAAACTCGAGCCTCAGAGTTTTCTTTCGTTGGGGGTGTTAATTGGAACCCTGACATTATTATGGCTGGCCCCAAAATAGAGTCTGCTTCTGGGATGGCATCATCCAGCCTCTATGTAGGAATGCTATGCAGCAGAGTGGCTTCTTTCCAAAGGGGAGAATTAAGTGGACTGATCGATGACAAGATAGGAAGCAGAAGGAAGGTAGGACCCAGTGGGCTTGGAAGCAACCCAAGTCTTATGGGCACCCAGCATGGCAAGAAGCAGAGCTTGTGGTGCCACATGGGATGGTGAGCATCCTTATGGCAGAAAAGTAGGAAAGAAATATTTTAAATAAATATAAACATCTGGTATAATTGTAACCCTCATCCCCCACCTCACACTTATCTTAATTCCTCTTTCTGTTTGGACACAAATCCCTTTCTCCCTGTATTTACTCATTCTTTCATACTGTCATCTGCTTTTGACAATTAAAATAACTGGTCCTTAGGCTGGGAATGTGCCAGTTTTTTACTATTATATAATGGATTTTGAAAGTTATTTTTTTTTAATCCTTATTACTTTTTCACTGGTTATTTTTTCATAGAATATTTTTCTCTCTATCTCTCTGAAACTTAAGAATCAACCAGTCCCCTTATTTCTTTTAAGTTTGGACAAATGGAATAAAACAAAAAGAATAAATTCACAAATTACAGTAGTCCACCTTTAAAAAGATGGAAGATCCACATTATAGACTTCATTAGTATTAACCAAACTAGAAAGTTATGCAGGAAAAAAAAAATAAACTTGATAATGTTTACAATGAACGTTTGGAAGTCACTGACATTTTAAAAGTCTGTATTTTGTAAATATAATCACAAATGCCACTGATGCTGGAAGCCTTCTATATATGTAGCCAAAGAGCAGGTCAATGGGCAAAGAGGCTTTCAGGCATGTATAGCATCTCTAACTGGATGACACGTTCTGCTGTTTCTCCTTGTCATACATACATTTCATAATTGCTGTCTGACAGGAAAGCATGGGCCCCATCTGCCCGACTGCTAAAGCTGGATTGAAGGTCAGAATATACTTCTACAGACAAGTGAATTTTGGAATAGAGTCAAGACTCTTTTCATTGAATTAGATTCTTAACAGATGCAATTGATATTAAAGCTGTTTAGGGAGGAAGGGCGGGAGAAGAATATCAAAAGAGATGTTGGAGAGAATTCAAAAGACAGGAGTGTAGAGTTTCGAGTTCAACTGTACATCCTGTCACCGTTTCAGAAAAACCCAACTCCAATTAAAAACTCTGAGATAGGCATTTTCTCAAAGTTCCATTTATTAGAGTAGGTATACTGGCACATCTGGGAAAACCCAAATCTGAAAGTTCTGGGTTTTCCCTCAGCAAATCAAAACCCTCAAATCCATCCCCTGCACCCATCAGTCCATCGCATGGTCCAATCACCATCCGTCCCATCTCGAGACATCACTCCAACCACTCCTTCTCCAGATGCAGGACTGACATGACCTTGACCGAAAAGAAGAATGCTATTTTGTTTAACTACATTCTTTCTACTAAATCCCTCCTCCTACTTTCCCACACACAAGAAGGTGGCAGCATGGAAGCTTCCAGTGTTAATATGGCTTCCAAACCTGACATATACCATTACAGGAATTGCTGATGGCAATGATGAGGTTATTTTAAATTGAACACTGATTGAGAAATTCTGCTTCTCCTAAAGGTTTAAACAACAGAAAACACAATGAAGTGGAGAGAGCCGTAACCATCTTTGAAATAAGATGTATTGCAGATAAAATGCTGTTGTTTGAAAATGCAATGTATTAGCCACTACTTTAAAAATGGGCTTATTGGTTTCGGTTTCCAGAGCTGTTGGCACAAAAAAATAAAAGGAATCAGGTTTTCACTCGATTAGGAAAGCCGAAACTTGCTGCATGGGTAATTTTAATTAATAAACAGGAAACTGAGATAACATGTTGTGCCAATAGCTACAGAAACAAATCTCTTTTCTTGATTTGATCACAGCCTGCAGGTGGTGGTGGCTGAATCTGACACTGAAAGCTTGCCTCTCCTCATTGATATTACCAATCAGGCAAAGATGTTTGCATGTTTTTCTGGCTAAATACATAAAGGTTTAACAATCTTCAATTGAGCATTTGCTTGAACAGCTAAATAAATTCCAGCATGGTGTGTGAATAAAACACACAATGCAACTAGTTGTTTCAAGGATAATTCAATCATGAGGCCTGAAGGTCAAGCAGTGACCTGGAAAATTAGCTTACCAGTGACTAATATACAAGGAGACAGTTTCAAAAGATGTAGAGGCAGAATGCTTAAAATGAAAATAAAGAAAATTGATGAAACTGTTTTGTTTTTTTTAAAGACCTAGACAGCTCCAAGAACTCATGATTCTGATCAACCATGGTCTGGTCCTTTTAAGGCTTTGGGGGCTTAGCTGTCAGGAGTTAAGAATCATGAATGTACATATGTTCAAGTTTAGAAGATTTATTCCTCAAACCTATACACAAGAATCTGATCAACTGTTAGCACTAAATAATGGAATTCAAGGTGGGAGTAAACATGGAGTATTTGTGAACACGTAACAATTCTAGGCTGATTGCTCTCGTGACTTCACCCCCAAGCTCTGCCATCTCTTCTCCTACATCAGCAGATCTCCTAACTCCATCCTCTTATGTAAGTATAAAGATCTTTAAAAGAGTGCTAATTCAAACCTAGTGTTGCTATTATCTGTCATATCAACAACAGGTTCCAATATATGTTGTACAACTATAAAAATGAAATTTCTTTCATTTATGCTGTCATTACTCTGGAATGTTTAATTTTTGTTCTATAATGACTGTCCTGTGCCCAACTACCTCCTCACTTTATTTGTAGATTCATAATGAATTAATTGTGTTAGTCAAATTATCTATTAAATCTACACATTTTCATATCAATTTAAACACATGTTCTAGAGCAAGAATGAGCATGCTTTTATAAAATAAGGTAGGCATGACTATTCTATCTGGTAAATAGATTTTTCCTTTCGCAAAGAATCCATTGCTGATAAATTTTATACAAATGATTCAAAGATAATGTACATGTCTCCTGACTAATTCATGGGGGAAACATTGTGCCTAATCAAAACATTTTAAATTAACTATACTTGAATATCAGTTTAACTATATATAAAACATGATTGCATGGTGTCTTAACACATACTATGTGATTATTGTTCAATTAAGAAACATTCCAGTTTGACTTAGAATAACCACAACACATTATTCCATACTTCCAAGTCACTGCTAAGCCATGTGATGAACTGGATGTTTGGTTCTTATAATCAAGTTATATATACATTATGCTAAATAGAATATTGCCCCAGTATCCAGTGTCCAGCAATATAATATCCAAGATACTTGAAAAAGAAAGAAGGTCTGAAAGAGGGAAATGGCTCCAAATTTCCAATTGCTTGCCAAGAAATGCTCCCTTTGTGGAGAGCAAACCCTTCAATAGCTTGATTCTTATAATTATATATATACACATATACATCAGGGATGGGTTCTACTTACCTTTACTACCGGTTTGCATTGGGGCTGCATGCAGAAGCTTCCTGATGATGTCGGGGTCGGTGGGCGATGGGTGGGGTTGGTGGGCACAACCTCCCACCGGTTTTACTACTGGTTCTATAGAACCAGTCCGAACCAGGGGCAACCCACCACTGATATACGTGTGTGTGTGTGTGTGTGTGTGTGTGTGTGTGTGTGAGAGAGAGAGAGAGAGAGAGAGAGAGAGAGAGAGAGAGAGAGAGATTTTTGACAGCTAGAGATTTTTCATGTTTGTGAGGAGCCTGGAATATGAAAAATGAGGATGTTCATCATATAGGAAATCTTCATAGTTGGAGAAAGCTCTGCAGCTCTTTTTATATGTAAAAAAACCCTCTATAAATGGAAGGTACTGCAAAAGTCTAGGTCTTATTCACATATCCCTTCTCCCTAAAAGCAGGTAAAATGTTATCAGTTTCCACAGCACTTAAGTACGTCTAGTAAATATACTGAATAATGTATTTCAGAAAACAGTTGACTATGAGCCTGTAACAGTGTGCATCAGGCTCAGTTCAAAGTGCTGGTTCTAACCTTAAAAATACATATTTTATAACTGAGCTTTCTTAATAGTGCCTTCTTTAATATGCTTCTCTCAAAGGAAAGTGTAAAGGAAAGTATAGATTTCAGGAGAAGAAATTCCAAGGGAAGAAAATATTTGTAGCTCGGGATTGAACTCGAGAGTCTAGAGCAGATGTTTCATAACCCAACTAGGGAACATCATCAGTATTAACTAGTGAAGGAAGGATTTCCCTGAAAAGGAACTGGAAATTAGGAGCCATTTCCCTCTTTCAGACCTTCTCTTCCACCCCACCCTCACAAATATCTTGGATATTAGATTGTTGGAGACTGAATGCCAGGGCAGACTGTCAATCTTTGGAATTTTCTGAAAGTCTAATAAGGTGAAAACCATCTGTATCTCCACAGATATATTAGGCAAGGCAGAAAAGACATGGACATGGGTTAAACAAGATGACACTATTTAATAGAGCCGAGGTGGCACAGTGGTTAGAGTGCAGTACTGCAGACTACTTCAGCTGACTGCTAGCTGCAGTTTGGCAGATTGAATTTCACGAGGCTCAAGGTTGACTCAGCCTACCATCCTTCAGAGGTCGGTATAATGAGGACCCAGATTGTTGGGGGCAATATATATATATATATATATATATAGGTCTTTGGTTATTCGGGTCTTCTCCCACGTAAAATTGGAAGTGTCTTGGCGACGTTTCGACGAAGTCTCATTCGTCATCTTCAGGCTGGTGTTCTCGGCTTCTCGGCGTATATGTATATATATACATATACGCATAAGCGCACCAGCGTGACTACCGTCCCTATCCTACTGTTTCCATTTATTGGTACTCATTTCTTAGGTCTATACTTATACTTGTTTATACTTATATGTTTATATGTTACGTTTATACTTGTATTTATTTTCTCATATATGCATGACAAAAATCAAAAAAAAAAATAACAATATGCTGACTCTGTAAACTGCTTAGAGAGAGCTGTAAAAGCACTATGAAGCAGTATATAAGTCTAAGTGCTATTGCTATTGCTAATGGAAATTATCCGAAACATGATCTTTGCTGGGCTTGGTTAGGCAGCAGCAGGAGAAAGATGATCCCACAAGTAGCTTGCCTTATAACATGCACGGTTTTAAAAGTGACAGCCAGCATTTTGAATTACATTCAGAAATCTATTGGGAGCCAGTGCAGCTTGTGGAGGAGTGATGCTATGTATATAGGAATAGTGAGAGACAACCCAAGCTTCTTGTGTTGATGCATTTTGGATTAGCTGCAGTTTCTAAGTAGTCTTCAAGGGAAGTCCAATGTACAGCATGTAAGAGTGATTCAAATGGGCTCCTCGATGGTTGCTTGGTTGTTTTTTTGCAGATATTTCATTACCAAGCTAGGTAACATCACCAATGCTAGTAGGAATTGGGGTTTGCTCTCATTTTATATACTAATAGCATGCCTTGTCAGTGTTGGTGGGAATAGTCTTGATGGTTGCTTGTTTGGGCTGTTCTTTATTGTTAGCTTGTTTGACAGTTCCTCGATTCGGATATTGTTTGCTTCTTGATTGCTGGTCTAATGTTAATCTTGGTATTAATCTCTGTTATCTGGGTGTTAACTGCTTTTGAAATGTTTTGATGTTTTTGGTTTTTTTTTTGGCTTTTTGATTGTCTCTTTGGAATGGTATGTGGCAGTGGTGGGATTCAAAATTATTTTACTACTGGTTCTGTGTGTGTGGCTTGGTGGGCATTGCATGGCTTGGTGGGCATGGCAGGGGAAGGATACTGTAAAATCTCAATTCCCTCCCCACTCCAGGGGAAGTTTACTGCAAAATTACCATTTCCTTCCAATCAGATGGGACTTGGGAGGCAGAGAAGAGATGGGGGCATGGCCAGTCAGAGGTGGTATTTACCGGTTCTCCGAACTACTCAAAATTTCCGCTACTGGTTCTCCAGAACTGGTCAGAACCTGCTGAATACCACCTCTGCTTTGTGGATATTGTTCATCTCTATGTGCCTGTTGATGGCTGTTTTGATCTTGCATAACACAAGCTGTGTAAGAACACTATGTGGACAAGCACAAATATTTTGCAGAAAACCTGAACAGCAGAAAAAGAAAACAGATTATCTATACAACATCTTCCAACAAAATGCAAAACCATGCAAGTTCATAAAAAAGTGCCTGACCACTCAACCCAATATAGCACAACCAACACTTATCTGTGAAAAGATAACATTGCCACACATCAAAAACAAAAGCCACTGACTATTACAACCCCATGGCATTACTGTAGCATACAAACCAACTAAAGCCTTCCAAAACATCCAAAGCAAGCCAAAAAAACCAGCAGCCCTGGAATAAAAAGCAGGAGTCATTCACAATATAAAGTGTTAAGTGCAACAGCCACTATGCAGGACCAATAGGCAGAAAACTAGCAGAATGCCTCTATGAACACTAGCAGTCAGAAGACATAATGAAAATTCCTTAATTTCACAAGACAAGGATAGATATAGTCATATTTTTAACTGGGAAACTGAGAGCATCAAGCCCAAAAACTCTAGAGAAGGCTAGCACCACAAACAAGCTAAGAATGAACAGCCCAAAGAATAACCAAGATTGTTCCCACTAACACTAACAGGGCAAGCCGCTAATATATAAACCCCACTCCACTAGGTGACTCGATGTCACCTAGTTTGGCAATGAAGCATCGCAAAGAAAACCGCCAAGCTCATAGAGCACCAAGGACCCACAGTTCAACCCTAAGCCACAAATATTATCTTCTATTAGTAATTCAAATAAGAAGTGACTGAGGCAAAATCATCGTGATTAAGCCCCCCAAGTCCAAAAGCAGATGCAATTGGTGCAGTTACCTGACTTCACACACACACACACACACACACACACACACACACACACACACCCCATAGCATTTTCTACCTGCCTCCATAAGTTCATTTTTCAAAGGAGCTGATTATCTCTTATTAGTATGTAGGGCTTTATAGAAAAGGAAATGTTCCAAGGTCGGCAAGAGAATAGAATTTAGTCTTAATTTATGTGATGAATTGTCTCTCAGTTCAACTTAATAGTCAGGAGGGTTAATTATAGGCTTTTAAACTTATCAAGAGCATGCTGTTTCTTTTTTTTTTAAGTCAAATAGTAAACCTTTCATTTGTTTAAAGGTTATAGAAAGCATTGCATGAGATGATTTGCTATTATTTCTTCAACAAATAATATTCATTTTAATACCTCTCCGCTATTATAATTATATTACAATTATACATGGAAGAAAAACTATAGTTTCTTTTGTTTGCATTATTCAGGACATTTTATACCTGAACTTCAGAAACACAAGACACCATATAGATTAGATGAGGCTGATAAAAAGCAACCCATCTGCTTGATTTTTTTTTAAAAAAATAACAAAAATTCTGGTAAGAAATTTACCAGAAGAAAATAACTTTTAATAAATCACATTTTCCTTCAGATACAATTGGCTTATTGAACTGGAGTAAAAACAGCTCTTTCTGCCTTAGGTTGTCAGGTGCAAGAGATCAGGACCTGTCAGAGTATATTCATTAACTGGAATAGGACATGGTAACAAAATCAGCCAATGAGGGCTAATTGGGAGCTGAGACAGACTGAAGCCAGGGCGTGTCTTAGACTGCAGCTTCTGATTCTGTGCAGAGAATTGAAACTGAAACTATTCAGAGTGAGTGTATGTTAATCTCTCTACTGCTGTACTCTTGTGTGTGAACATGTCTGCTGATCTGAGTTGAAGAACCACTGTTGCTATTGTAAATATACTTTATGTGTTATTATGAATATAAAGAAGTTAATGAATCCAGCTGATTCAGTTATCTGTGTGTGCTTCTGGATTTGATTTTTGCAAGAAACTCTGATAGGACCATAGCTCACGTTGCAATTATAAAAAGAGTTATTGCTCAAACCTATATACAAGAATCTAGTTATTAAAGTTCAACATTAAATTGGCACCAGATAAGGGTCAATGAAATTCAAGAGGACTTGGACCGCAGTGTAATGACTCTAATCCAGGAGTGTCAAACTCACATCGTCACAGTGGCATCACGTGATGTATCAGGACTTTTCCCCTTTTGCTAAACTGGGTGTGGGCATGGTCAACGTGTGACACATCCAGCCCACGGGCTGAGAGTTTGATAGCCCTGCTCTAAACTGATAACTTGCTTAACATTGCTTCCCAGCTCTGCCAGCTCTTGTCCTTCACAGGGGCTTTTATTTCAACATCACCAACTCAGGCCCAAAGTCTAGCAGAGTTGGCCAGATATATGGATGCCAGAATGGAATAAAAAGATATGGCACTCTTTCAAGATAGTGACCCCTAGATTTCTGACTAAATGTTTCTTTAACTCTGACTATATAACACTAATCTCTATTCTACTGAAGTCAATGTGGACAAGACTTCATCCTACACAAGTAAGCTAGCTTTAGAGGACACAGCTTCATGACATAGAGTTTGCTCCTTCAAAACCATATTAGCTATGCCATCTCCAAACATCATGATTGACAATTGAGATCAGGTATGTCCACAGGGTTTATAGATAGGTAGCTAGGTAGGTAGGTAGGTAGGTAGATAGATATAGATATTGTAGATATTGTAGATATTGTAGATATAGATGTAGATGTAGATGTAGATGTAGATGTAGATGTAGATGTAGATGCAGATGTAGATGTAAATACACACACACACGGGTACTTTTAAAAAATATTATTTTATATAGTCAAAAATAAACCTATCTGCAAATAAACTCAGTCTAGTTTTTTTTGTTTTTTTTTTTTAGTATATTGTGAATCTGAAATTCTTGGCTTAGCTGTGATTTAATACAGCAATTAAAAAAATGGCACCTATGATGGTTTGATCTAAGCTCCACCTGTTTTTTAATGGATGGAACTTCAAATATTGCAAAGTATTGGGTTGTTGTTGTTGTTGTTTTTGCAAAGCACCATAGACTGAGATTTCTCTTCCCTTCTATCTGTTTAGACTTGTCACCAAAGAAATGAAACAATTTTAATAGCCAATCTGAAAGAAAACTAACCATCATTTCTTCCTAGGGAAAGGTAAGTATTCAGTATGCATTTGCTCAATTCTGACTCACTGAAAAAAATGCTTGAGAAGCCATGTACTTATCCACACAGGCTGTCCAACCAGCCGTGTGCATAAAATGTATAATTTTTCAATTAGTGACTGGGAGAGGGTTTAATATATCAGAAATATCATTTCAGATGTTTAATTTTAATGGTTCCCTGCATTATTAGAGTTTTAAAAATCTGTATGAATTAGTTTCTAAACAACATCTGATAGATAGTCACATTTCTCGGTGATATAATAGGTTAATCTCTACTGTTCTTCTGAGTTCAGATAATATAATCAGATCATTCTAGGCCTCCACTGGAATATTCTATTTATTTTTGAACCAAAAGGGGGAGTAGGTTGGAGTGGGAGAAGGGGGATAATGAGAAAGAGAGAGTTGATAATAAAGACATGGATGATGAGGTGCTCTAAAAATGATTAGGCATGCAGGAAGAAAAGATTTAATTTGGGAGATTGAGAACGGTGGAGATATTTGCTTTCTGCCTACACACTTTCACTATTGCTCAGTATAACTAAAGCCTTTAAATACTTTATAAATTGAAGAAATTAACCACAAAATGCCTGAAGGAATCACCTACTATACATCATTTGTATATTTCTTCTATTAATGGAAGAAAAGCTTCACACATTTGCTTTTCAAACAATTGAATAAATGAGAAGAGAATTTAAAAAAAATGCAAGTCTACTTATACTTTTTTGAAAGGTAAATCAGAAAGACAAAAGAAAGGACAGATTGAGTAGTGACATCTATTCTTTCTTTTGTCTTTCTGATTTACCATTCAGAAAAGTATAAGTAGACCAGTACTCATGTTTTTTTTTATTCTCTTCTGTATATGACAGATTAGATCTGGAAACAACCTGAATCTTTTGGAGGGGGGGGGAGAGGGAGGGAGGGAGAGAGAGGGGGGAGGGGATGCATGTCCACTCGTAACACAATTTTGAAATCATACATATTTGTATATTCCAATAATCTATTTTACAGTATAAATAAATGTAATTTGGTCATGTACTAGAGCCCTACATTACACTACTGATTAAACTAAGCCTTTTTGAGACTGTAATTTATATTGAATTTTGTGACAAAGTTATACTTTAGTACAGCTGGAAGAACAAGAGCTGGTAACATGATGAAGAGTAAGGAGAAGATGGCAGAGAGCTTACACACCTAAGTTGAATATAAATATATATATAATTAGGTTATCATAGTAAGATATATACTGAAATGAATGAAGGGTTCATTTCTCCTTTAATTTTAAAAATAGCAAGAATCACTCAGTTTGCAATCCAGTTTGCCTATCAACTACACAGAACCAAGAAAGTTTCCTTCTTAATCTGCTTTTGTTGTTTTCAATAACATGTCCTGTACATACTGTATTGTGATTGTTGGTGACAGGCTATTCTGATCTTCTCCAATAATTTTATTTTCAGCAATGTTTTTGCTTTCAATTTTTATCTTCTGTTTTACTCTAAAGAACATAAAGTGTTGCAGTTTCAGAATTCAGTAGATTTACTTAGGTTCTAGAATGTCCTTGAGAACACCTTATTTACATAACCCAAATTAATAGACTTTCAATAGAGAGACAGGAAGAAGCTCTAGTGTTATTGTTGAGTGTTGAATTGGGTTGAGCTTGCCTTGAACTGGGATTATCTTCCAATATCTGATTCAAAATATAAGGAAAAAACTATACAGAGTAAATTATTTCAGCCTATTAATAGGGTGTCTATGAGGATTCTCAGTCATCTAAGTCGTGATAGTCCCAAAAATGCTTTTTCAAGAGACAGCTGGACTTTGTTTGTTTTTCTTGGAGACATTTCACTTCTCATCCAAGAAGCTTCTTCAATTCTGAACTGAAGTCTTAAAGGAAAAACAAAGAAAGCCCAGTTGCCTCTTGAAAAAGCACCTTTGGAACAATTAATAAGGTTTTCTGCTATTTGATTTATTCCATATTTAAAACATTTTTTTTTCTTCTCTGTCAATTTAAACACTTCCAGAGCAAATAAATTAAGGTCAATAACAATATCACCTAAAAGCAAAAAATAAAAGAAAGAGATGTAGGGAGCAAACTGGTATGCATGTTGTTACACCTGGAAGCATCTTATAATCATTATTCCATGGAAATATGCAAAGGATGAGCTCAAATATCTCATGCTGATGAAATGCTTTTTAATAAAAATAAATAAATAAATAGGATGGGTAAATTAAAAGCAGGAAAAAAGAGTGGCATTTCCCAAGCTGGTTATAAATTTTAGAGATGCTACTTAATAGATATCTGTGCCAGTCAAATATTCCTTAATGTGAATTTGCCTGATAAAATTTGGTCTTCTGCCTGTTTTGAAGACAATGTTTAATGAATGACTCCAGTGGCTCTAGATACAGAATGCTTAAATTGCCTATTTAGCTAAAATGAGAAAAAGCCAAAAAAAAAAAAGGGATGGGGTGGGGAGGAGAGGAACTCAATTTTTAGTTAGATCAATATTCTTCTTTCTGTATTGCCAGTTTAAAGTGATGTTCATTGAATTCTCAGGCAATTTCCAAGCCAAGCTCAAATCTGCTTACTTTCAGCAAAGCTGCCCCATAGCTCTTTGCTTTCCTGGAAACAAATAAAAGCTGAGCAGTTTGGGATTATTGATATTGTATTTTCTAGTTGATTGGCAGCCCCATCTCTCAGAATTGCAGGATTCCTGTGGAGATGAAATTGCAGTTAAATTCATTTGAGGTAGCACAAGAAAGACACATTCTTTACAGCTGGCATGGTAATAACCAATTATAAAGAAAAAAGAAAAAAGATTAAAGAAAAAAAGATTAAAGAAAAGTAATGCAAGTCACAGGTTAAACTGGGTTTTATTTATTTGGTTTTTTCTCCATCATCAATTAAGAACAACTGTATCCTATTCTTCCCCAAGGTTCAAGAATACGTGTGAATGATTTAATAGACTTTTTTTTTTTAAAGAAAATATCTTGCACAAAAGAAGATGTGTGTTGAAAGGGAGGAAAGAAGAAAGATACCAAGGACTTCCTTTAATGGATTAATGTTCCCAGTCTTCCCATCACAAATCCATTATCATATGGCCTTTACTACCAATAGAACTCTTACCAAATGAATGTCTTCAAATACAATAAGTGTTCGATTTTGTAACTAAACATAATTTCAAACAAATCAGGAAAGATTTGTTGGTTGTTTAGTTCATTAGTCATATAATCAGTGGTGGGATTCTACTGGTTCAGACCGGTTCGGGCGAACTGTTAGCTCCAGCTTTCAGCCATGAGCGAACTGGTTCTCTCTTTGTTTGAAGTGGGCCCACCCGCTTGCCCCTGCATTATACTTATCTATATATCTGCTTCCAAAGCCCAGCTGATCGGCGGCGGCAGACTGAATTGCCGCTCCTCAGTTGTTTTCCTTGCTCTCAGCAATGCAGAAGTTCAATTTTCTGCAAACTGCACATGCAGTTGTAAAACCAGTAGCATCCCACCACTGCATATAATGGCAGCATGTCACTAGAAATGAATATATCCTCCTGCCTGACATGTACTTTCAACATCTTTTTTGAATTGTCATGACCAAAACTGGATGCAGTATTCCAGGTGTGGTTTTAATAATGATTTATAAAGCGGTACTAATACTTCACATGATTTTGATTCTATGCCTCTGTTTATACAACCAAGGATTGTATTAACTTTTTTTGGCTGCTGCTGCAAACTGCTGACTCAGGTTTTAAGTGATTATCCACTGGAACTCCAAGGTCCCTCTCCCATTTACTGATTTTGAGCCAGGTTTCACCTAATCTGTATTTGTACCTTTGATTTTCCTGCCCAGGTGTAAAACCTTGCTTTTCTCCACATTAAATTTCATTTTGTTGGGTAGGGCCCATTATTCAAGTCTGTCAAGATCTTTTTGTTGTAATTTGATGTTAATGACTTATTTTACTGCAACAGAGTCGGAAGTCAATGCTTATTTTTCTTTTTCTTTCTCTTAATCCTTCCTCACTTTTCTCTCCCCTCCCCCAATTTCCTCTCCATTGTGTTCTCATTTTCTTTTGTATTTTGTAACTTATTTTATCTTACAATTCAATAAAAATATTAACAGAAAACAAATCTTTTTGGATCCTGAGCTTGTCTTCTGCTCTGTTGGCTATTTCTGCCAGTTTAGTGTCATCTGCAAATTTGATGAGTTCCTCTTGTGGTACCCCACTTCTTACTTCCCTCCATGTAGATGTAGTACCATTAAGGAGTACTCATTGAGTACAGTTTGTGAACCAGTTACAAATCCATATGGTGGTGATGCTGTCTATCCCACATTTTTCTAGCTTATCAGGAAGTAGGTTGTGGTCTACTTTGTCAAATGCCTTGCTGAAGTCTAAATATACTATGTCCACAGCATTTTGCTGGTCTACTAATTTAGTTACTTTGTCAAAGAATGAAACAAGTTTGGTTTGGCATGATTTTTTTTAACAAACCCATGCTAGCTGCTAGTAATAACTTTATTTTTTTCTAGATGTTCACAGTTCTATTTTTTTCTCCCAGTATCTTCCCAGGTATAGGCTTGCAATAGGCTGATTGGTCTGTAGTTTCCTGGGTCTGCTCCCCCAACTTTTTTTTCCAAGATGAGAACCACATCAGCTCTTTTCCAACCCTTTGTAGTTCCCCAGCGCTGAAAATTTTTAAAACATTTATAACATTTGCCAGGTCTTTCAGAACTCTGGGATGTAATCCATCAGGTTCTGGTGATTTATATTCATCAAGGTGTTCTCTTACCATTGTCTTGTTTATTTTAATTTTTATTTCTAGTCTGCCTTTTACAATTATGCTTTTGGTAGGGTTGTTAGGGCTATAGTTTATTTTTGTATGAAGAATGATGCAAAGAATGAGTAAAGCAGCTCTGTTTTCTCTCTACTGCCTGTTACTTCCTTGACATCTCTCTTTAGTTGACCAGCTGTTTCCTTGACATTTTTCTTGTTATTTATATGT